CGGGGAGCTGGCTGGGAGCTGAGCAGAGAAGAAAGATGATGTCACTGAGCACAAGCCTCAGGTGCCTGGACCCCAAGCACTTTCAGTGGTGACATGAGCAGGAAGTCATGGTGGGGAGCCACCAGCCATCCTGCCTCAGGTCTCACCCTCCGAGTGGTGATCAGGGACCACAGTGAGCCGTGCTGAGCCTCTAAACCACCTGCTCGGCCGCCCTCATCACACAGGGCCAATGCCCTGCCTGAGGGGTTCAGAGTTTCTTACGCTTTCTCATGCATTACATAGCAAACACCGAGCCAGCCCAGGCGGGGAGGGCGGTGAAGAACACGAGGTTATGTACTTGGGGATAGTCTGCAGGGTCCCCACAGAGCGGACTGGGGGGCCAGGGCGATGCCAAAGGCCGGCCGTCACTCTATGAGCAGAAACGCCTGGAATGTAGGAAAAAACTCACTTCTGTCATTTTAGTCTTGAAAAGTGAAAAGAGTGAGTAAAAGAAGGAAAGTACTGGAGAAACAGGCCCCTGAGGAAAACTGTTAATTGATTTAAACCCTGGAAACATGATTACATGGCAGAATACCCTGAGACAACTTCTCTGAGTTTTGTTTTTTTTAAAAAAATATATTTCTTTATTGATTTCAGAGAGGAAGGGAGAAGGAGAGAGAGATAGAAACATCAATGATGAGAATCATTGATCGGCTGCCTCCCCCCCCCACCCCAACTGGGGATGGAGCCTGCAACCCAGGCATGTGCCCTTGGCCAGAATCGAACCTGGGACCCCCCAGTCCACAGGCCGATGCTCTATCCACTGAGCCAAACCAGCTAGGGCTTCTCTGAATTTTTTATAAGGTAATCGTTTTGTGAAGAAAATAATTGATTTTACCTTTCCTGAGACTTACTTTTAACAGGAAATAGGTAGTGAATTTAATAATACTTCGTTCAGGATCCACTAGAACTATGAGTAGAATAAGATAAACTTCCAAAATGTAGGCGCAGTAGAGAAGTAAAATAGAATGCAAAATTTAGATCAATATTTGGGGCTAAAGGATTTGTAACACTTTGTATTTTACAACAATGAAGAACTGAGCTGTATTTACTGAGGGTCCGGCATTATTCAAAATGCTTTATAAATGTTGATTTATTTCAGCAACATGATATCCTCTGAGGTGGAGCTCATGTTACAGATGAGGAAAGTGATACCCAGATATGCTACCTGTCTTGCCCACGGTCACAGAGCTAACCGGTGGTGGAGGCCGGATTGAAGCTGGGCAGTCTGGGCCTGAAGGTCATGGGCTCCGTCCGGTGTGGTTCGCCCTGTCTCTCCAGTTTGTTTTGTTTGTTTGCACATTGCTGATGGGATTGCCGCAAGTCCTCTCTTCATTCTCTCTTAATTCTCCTGAGAAGTCTTATCTGATTTCCAATGTTATCCACATTCCAGATGTTCCCAAATGTCCCTCTCTGGCATCACCCATTTCCGATGCGTGGCTACGTCTGCCCAGCACGCACCTTCAACTGTAGGTGCCTTTAACGCAACACGGCCCAGATTCGATTCCTTGCCTCCCTCCGTCCCTCATTCTTCTCCTCTTTGCCCCTCACTCAATGGCACCACTGGCACTGGCACCGCTCGGAGACCTGAGACCGAGCTGGAAGGAGAACGTTGCTCATTCACTCTGCACAACCTCAGCGCACAGCCTCTCCCAGTTCCCTTGTTTCTGTTGCCGAGGCCTCTTCACGCTGCTCCTGCCTCTCAGTTCTCGCTGCCGCAGTGCGCCTATCATCAGCTTTCAGGTGGCTGCAGAGCCATCGCCCAGGCCTCCCTCTGTAGCCTTCCTGCCAAGCGCCCTGCGTTAGAGCTTAGCCAACCAATTGCTCCCTGCACAGGGAACACCCTGGCACACTGTTATACAAAAAGCTAGCAGCTTTTCTTGAGGATTATAGGAACCATATTTTGATGTATACAGTTTAGTCTTTATGTCATCATTAACCACTTATAGTCTAAATACATCCACATGACACTTTCATGTTCCAAGGTAAGTGACTAAATGTGAGCAGAAGATGATAATTTTGGTCAAGGATAAGCACTTGTGATTCCTAGATGTCTTTCTGAATGAACACGTTGCATATTAAAGTATAACACAATTCTATCAGAATTCTTAACAATTCTTACAAATTCATTTATTGCTAAAAGATTAAAACAGGTAAGCATCTTCCTGCGTAGTGTGGACAGCCTGTCCATAGGTAACTGTGGATGAATTCTTTGACATCCAGTGAGAATCAGAATCTGTCTCCTGACTGTCCTCTCCTCACCTGAAGACAAAAAACAAGAGCGAAAGCATCCCCGGCCTCTGTGAGCTCTGCTGTGGGGAGCAAGGCGCCGGGGCGGACATGCTCCCCTGGTGCTCGGCGTGCGGGGAACACGGGCCAGCACGGGACTCTGCTCCAGCCGCCCAAGGAAGTCTGGGCACGAGTCGGGACCACGAGATCAGTCGCAGAGCAGACCCGGGTATGAAGGACAGCTGGGGAACAGAGTCAATAATATCATCATAACTACGCATGGGGCCAGGTGGGCCCCGGAAATACGGGGGGCCACCCTGAAGAGCACATGGTTGTCTAACCACTAGGCGGTGCACCTGGCACTGCTACAGGATAATGTTGAATGTCAACTGTAAGGAAGAAAACAGAGGCTTTGTCCACTGGCCATGAGCAGGCACTTCAAGGGCATTCTCATGCCACCTTAGCCCTTCTCCGGTGCAGCGACCTCCGAGGGCGCACAGTTACCATGGATGCCCCAGGGTTACCCCACCCGTAGCCTTTGATGCTATTCTGTCAACAACATTGAGAAATTTTTGACAACGTGGAGCTCTTGGTG